GCTACCTTGCTGCTCATCCGCGTGCTTGTCTTCCCGTGCAGTTTCCTTGTGTGCTGTGTAGCTTGGCCAGTGCTGCAGCACTGCTCTGTGCGTTGATGCGCTGTTGCTTTGCTGCCCGTCCGCTTGCGCTGTCATTCCATGCAGTTAGCTTTGGCGCTGTGCAGTTGGGTTGCCCCGTAGTGGTGCCTGGTGCTTCACTGAGCCGTTGCCTTGCTGCTATGTTGCGCTTGTGACGTTGTTTGTGCGCCGTCCACTTTCAACAAGGGTTAAGGACTCAATGACTCGTACCATCAATATGCGGATTCCGCAGGTTGGCAAGGGGTTCAGCCTCCTGATGAGTCGGTGCAAGTCCAACGGAACAATCTATATCATCAGCAGTTCTCTTTTTCCCTGCTTATGCAGGGGCCATGCTAATCTTCTCTGTATCGTTCCAATTTTAACGGATGTCAGTTCTCTTTGTTTTTGTTGGTGATGACAATTGACACTGTACTTTGTGCCTACCCCGCTGCCCCATACCCTCCAGCTTATGTGCCTTGCAGCCGCTTGTCATCCATTGCCTTGCCGCCCTTGGCCTCACTGTGTGTTGCTTTACTGCCTTGTGCTTTACTACCTTTTGCCCTCTCCGCGTTACCCTTCCCTGGTCAAGGTGTGGTTGCCTGGTTGGTTAGCTGCCTGGTTTTGTCCTTGACACTTCTTGCCTGGTTGGTTGGGTATTCGCTGCCTCGGTGCTTCTTTGCATCACTCCCTTTGCCCTGCTGCTTTGGGCCTGCTGCCTTTTGCCTTTTTCCCCTTGCTGTCTTGTCCCCCAGTGCCCCTGGGCTTCAGTCCTCTTCCCTCTTTAAATTTGGTGAAAGATTGAGGCCGCTGTATGCATACTCTTTACATACAATTCGGATCGCTTAATGTCCTTATAATATATCATTTTAAATTTTGAATCGCACTCTTAAAAATGCAGCTCACCGTGGTTTGCGTCACAGTCGTTTCGTCTCTCATCAAACGCAGCTTGCCCGGAAAACATCATATGATGGAGGCATGAGCACAGATAGACGGGGTCTCCTAATCAAAGCACAATACACATGGCCAATCCTCTTATCCAGTCCGATCAGACCAGGCCGACAACAACAACATCCCGAGCGTTGAGATCAGAATATCAACGACATCCTGAGCGTTGAGCTCAGCATACAAATGTGCGCAGCTTTGCAAAAATTCTAGTGTATGCATGTGTACACTAGAAACTTTTTCAAATGAGCTCACAGGATAAAAATGTGCACAGTTTTGGAAAAGTTCTAGTGTAAGCATGCGCACACTAGAAACTTTTTCAAATGAGCTCGGGATACAAGTGTGCGCAGCTTTGGGAAAATTCTAGTGTAAGCATGCATACGCTGGAAACTTTTTCAAATGAGCTCAGGATATAAGGTATCATAAACGTGCACGGCTTTGGATGCATGATTAGTAGCTTACACTACTTTTTCAACTGATCTCTGGGAACAATTGAAGTGTCAAATGCATCCACAACCACCTGTGAATGGCTGTCTGGCTCTGATGCCAAGGAAGGGGTGTACCAACAAACTTCCACCCTCTCCCTCCTCCCCTCCCTCTCCACCCCCCTCATCACACATCACAGTTCTCACTGTCGACCACAGATCTCGTGTTCACACTCAGCCCAAAATTAATTGCAGAAAATTTCGTTAGATTTTTTTCTTCCACTTTTTTGACACCATTGCACTACGATTCTGCACTTCCTCCCTTTTTTTTAGATGTTCTTGCACCTTTTTTTTTTTTTTTTTTAAAGAGGCGGCAGTCTTTAGATATCATCGTCGAACTGACTGGCCCCAGGCAATTCAGAATGATTTTAATTCTTTTCATCTGAGGATATCTGGATTCGAACTTGAGTCTGTGTTTCAACAGTTCAGGGGGGTACTAACTGAGCTACGCCTGTTGGTTCCTTGCACCTTTTTGCACAACCGGAAACGGCGAAAACTCAACGGAAAGAACAGGTTCCGGAAAGTCGGTTACCCAAACCCTGAACACCAGACTGCCCAACTGGCCATCCAGTCGGTTACCCAAACCCTGAACAAACTTCATGACCACGAACCCCACCCCCAAACTTACAAAAACTGACTTGAATGAGAGCAGCGATCAAACTTTAGTGGGTCTAGCCTGTAGACCCTCTGCACCATGTGGCACAGTCAGATCGGGCCCGGCAGGTACACTCACCGTTATCACGGGATTACGTTTTTTTTTCTCTCTCTCTCTTTGATTTCCAGATTGCGCACGCCCAAGAGACACTCACCGATATCACCGGATCATGTCTGTCTCTCTCAGTCAAGAACATGCCAGTGCTCGTGCGAACTGTGCTTCTTACACCCTGCCACCCACAACCAAAAACAGTGGAGCAAAGAATTAAGCAAACGGACATCCAGAATTGTCCAGTAGAAAAGCAATCAAGATTCAAGATATAAAACAAAAACCAAAAAAAGTATTATCCAGCGCAATCCATACTTGTGCCTACAAACAAACAAACAAACAAACAAACAAACAAGATATACTTCACCGATTCAAGACAACCACACGTCCTCGTTTTGAAAGCCAAGTCTAATCACCGAGGGAAACTTCACCACCTATTGAAAAAAGTCCGGCAACACAAACGACGTGTTCACATTTCACTGGTCAAAGTTATACCCACTCGGAATTGAACGGGTGAAGTTCAAGTTCTTCAACTAACAATGCCAATCACATAGCGAGAGTGCATTGGGATAAAATGAAATCCCTATAATGAAGATCTGAGGGATTTCAATTCACCCAAGCCAACTGATACATGCTCAGTCGAGCGATGCATATGGAGCCAAGGATCCACAAAGTGATGAAAAGGACTCGACACAATGCAGCGTCAGCAAAGCATCAACAAGCAATGTACATCCAGATACATACGAAAATAGCACAATATAGCCCAACGGAAGACTTGAAGATATGACCTGGCCTGTCAGATACTGATGCGACAACCCCTCATACACCTGCAATGACTTGCTGTTTTCTGGTCGCCTATAGCCTCTCTCTGTCGAGGCTGTACTATAGGTAGGACAGATTCGTAATTTTGTTCGACTGAGGGCTAACCGAGTGACCTGCCTGTAAGGAAAATTCGTGAGGGACATATCTGTAAATACCGGAAAATACGGGCCCGTACTAACTGAATTTCCTACAGCTAACCTAACTGCAAATAGCAGGCCCGGGCTACCCCTAAGACAGACAGGCCCTACAGGCCTATGCTGATAGACGGTCCTATAGCCTATAGCCGGGTAAGGTAGAGGCCGAGAGGCCGAACCTGAATCGGTACCGGTCAGTCAGTCAGTCCGGTCTAGGTCGAGTCTAGGCTAGTTTTAGTCTATAGATAGGATGCGCACATCGGTTCAGGGCTTTTGGCAGTTGGTACCGAGTCCATCGCTGCTGTGCTATGCGTGAACCGGAAGTGGTGACGGCTCAGCGTGGAAGGAGACAGACATAGCCAGACCTTCGGAGCGCCGGCCATAGCTGGGACCTGTTTTGTACTCTGCCAGCACGTAGGGGCTGTCAGAGGTCTGGGTTATCGAGGTCTGCTGGAGGCGAGAGAAGTTGGTGCCCTGCTGGACCCTCCTCCGGAGTGGGGTTCCAAGGTTGTGGCGCTGCAGCCATAGCTGCAGGTTCTTCCTCAGAGGTCATCTTGTCAGGAGTTGGTGGCGCTGCTGCAGACTTCCACCCGGGAAGTCTTCCGACACTTCGTCATCATCAGATACTGTGGCGCTGGTCTTCTTCTTCATCCTCTGAGTGGCACTTGGCCTCAGAGGCCTGTTTCAGGGTGGCGCTTCCCTTTGGAGGCTGTATCTGGGTGGCGCTTGATGTTTCAGGGGCTCAGGGGTGTCACGGGTGGTTACAGCGCACTGTAGTACTGAGGTTATCCTAACAATTTGAGACTCTGAGTTTAATAAACAGTGTAATACTGGGTTTGGACTATCATCGTTTCATTGTNTATCCTAACAATTTGAGACTCTGAGTTTAATAAACAGTGTAATACTGGGTTTGGACTATCATCGTTTCATTGTTTCCTGGATGTGATATACTCGGATTTTCTTTATGACTGGTTGTGAGGACTGAGTGGAGTGAATTGCACTTTCAGTGTACCCTGTCATATCGCATGGTAAAGTCTTCCGCTGTGTTTATCTCTCCCTGTGCGGTGTGATACTCATATCCTCTCCCCTTCCTTTTGTGTATGTATGGGCATACCTGGAAGTCTATGTGTGCGAGTGTTGGTCTCAGACAACAAACAACCAGAATCATAACAGTTGGTATCGGAGCGATTGGATCCAGACTCTGGAGCGATTGATGAGTTGGAGCAACCATCATCATCTGGAGAGATACTGGAGTTGAGTCTCATGGCGATTCATCATCTTCAGGGTTGTTGTTAGTAAGGGTGGTGGTAGTGAGTGTGTGGCGAGAAGAATTGAACAGAGGGTGACTCACTCCTGACTAGGGTTGTGCCGGAGTGGGTGGCGATTGGTGCTCAGAGGCCTTGGAGGCTTTGGGAGGCTATTTTTAGCCCTGGCAATTCATCTGGAGGCTGGCGATTGGCAAGGAAGTGATCCCAGGAGGTTGCGATTTTGGAATTGGGTTTGGATCCCCAATTTCCAAGCAGCGCAGTACAGGGTGATGTGGCGCTGCACTGAGTTTGTCAGTTATTGGCACTTGGGAGTCCAAATTCATTGAATCTGTCAGATGGGGTTGAAGCGCCTCAGGGTAATCTACTGGATCACCAAGTTTCAGGCAATTTGATACGTGGGAACACTGGGTACTGTCAGGAGATGAAACTGGGGAAATGGGGTTGGCTAGTCAGCCATAGTCAAAGTTTCATGCATCTTCTTAAGAGTTGACCCTGAAGTAAGTGTGTTCCTTACTCTACCCTGTGTGGCGATTCTGGGGCTACTTTTAGAATAGCAAAATTTGGTCTGTCTGTCAGTTTACAGTTGAAAAGCGAAATTCAAACTATGGGACAGCCATGTCCAACTTCCCCTACCTATCTTCTTTGACTTCTACTAACCCTGTTTGACCTCCTTCGTGACTCAGATTTCATTTGTGACTGCTTTACAGTATTGCGATTTATACTCTGTAGTAGGGTCCAGTTGTCAGTGATAATGCAAATTTGAATTCTGTGTTGCCATAGCTAAAGCATGGCTAGACTAGGGTCAGTCATAACTTTGATTCCGTTCGTCAGAATTCAATTCTGTCAGCCTCTGGTAAATCGCAATTCAGTACTCAGTCTGTGTCTGAAATCGCACATCCAGATTTGATGTTTTGAGTCAGTTACAGTGAAAATTGTAATTCGCCATACACAGGGTATGGCATACAGGGTCATACAGTGGTGAAGTCTGCGGGGTAGGTCTAAAAATAGGGTTACCTGTAAATCGCTGCATCTTGGTTATCAGTGGACACCTGTCAATCCCTAATTAGTCACTCTGTCTAACTAGTAATCGACACTGATCAATCCAAGACTGCATCCTGCCAGCAATTGATGCAGGATTTGCAATTATTGTGTGCAATTGTTGGTTCAAGGCAGTGATGGGATCTCCATTTGGGTCGTGCACAACTAGTATACAGTACTTTTGTACACTCCTCTACTGGCTTTACACCCTACCGCTTGCACTGGGGTCGTGAGCCACGGCAGCCTCTCGATGACATCATCGATAAGGCTACCCCTACCTTGACACCTGGAACTGCAGAGTTCACCAGGCGTTACCGTGTGGACATACAGCGCGCCAGTGCCAACCTGCTGAAAGCCCAGAAGGCTCTGCTTCAGCAGGCTAACAGGCACAAACGTCCTTCTACTATTCGCACAGGTGACTGGGTGTGGGTACTCAGTTCTAAGTTGTCGCGAGAGGAGGATATTTGCTGCCACGATACATGGGTCCACAACAGGTCTTAGATACAGTGCGAACTGATCCATTTGGACCATCCTATACCGTGGATGTCCCTCTGCATCTACAAACCTACCCTATCTTTCATGCATCTAAGTTGTTACCAGTCACCTCGGCTGGTGCATTCCCAGACATGCCTTCTCAGTTCGGTCCCCCTATCCCTGGAACAGGATATGACATGGAGTCCATTGAGGATGAGTCAGGTACAAAACCAGATAAGGAGTACCTTGTGAAGTTCCTATACCAGCCACATACAGAAGACCGCCGGTTTACTCACAAGGAACTTCTGAAAACTGCAAAGTCTGTCATTCTCAGATATGAGGCGGCACAGAAGGGAGAATCCCTTCGGCGCTCTGCACACCTACGCCCCTAGCTCGGAGGTCCTCGCTCCGGAGGAGGGTAGGTCTGCAATGACTTCCTGTTTTCTGGTCGCTTGTAGCCTCTCTATGTCGAAGTTGTACTATAGGTAGGACAGATTCCTAATTTTGTTTGGCTGAGGGATAACCGAGTGACCTGCCTGTAAGGAAAATTCGTGAGGGACATATCTTTAAATACGGGAAAATACAGGTCCGTACTAACTGAATTTCCTACAGCTAACCTAACTGCAAATAGCAGGCCCGGGCTACCCGTAAGACAGACAGGCCCTACAGGCCTATGCTGATAGACGGTCCTATGGCCTATAGCCAAGTAAGGTAGAGGCCGAGAGGCCGAAACTGAATCAGTACCGGTCAGTCAGTCAGTCCAGTCCAGATCGAGTCTAGGCTAGTTTTAGTCCATAGATAGTATGGGCACATCGGTTCAGGGCTTTTGGCAGTTGGTACCGAGTTCATGGCTGTTGTGCTAAGCGTGAACCGGAAGTGGTGACCGCTCAGCGTGGAAGGAGACATGCATAGCCAGACCTTCAAAGCGCCGTCCATAGCTGGGACCTGCGCTGTACTCTGCCAGCACATAGGGGTTGTCGGAGGTCTGGGTTATCGAGGTCTGCTGGCGGCGAGAGAAGTTGGTGCCCTGCTGGACCCTCCTCTGGGGTTGTGGCACTGCAGCCATAGCTGCAGCTTCTTCCTCAGAGGTCATCTTGTTTGGAGTTGGTGGCGCTGCTGCAGACTTCCACCCGGGAAGTCTTCCGACACTTCGCCATCATCAGATATTGTGGCGTTGGTCTTCTTCTTCATCCTCTGAGTGGCGCTTGGCCTCAGAGACTGTTTCAGGGTGGCGCTTCCCTTTGGAGGCTGTATCTGGGTGGCGCTTGATGTTTCAGGGGCTCAGGGGTGTCACGGGTGGTTACTCGGGGTCGGGGAGTGAAGCGCTGCTCATCTCTGAGCAGCGCACTGTAGTACTGAGGTTATCCTAACAATTTGAGACTCTGAGTTTAATAAACAGTGTAATACTGGGTTTGGACTATCATCGTTTCATTGTTTCCTGGATG